CGGCGCGCCCGGGAGACGCCCGCGCGGAGCTGTTCCGAGCCCACGGCTCTCGCGCGTGGGTGAGGGTCAAACCTCGGGGCCTTCTCAGCCTCCTGGAAGCCCCCAAACATCCGAAACCCGCCCCTTCCTTGGGCCCAGCAAAACTGAAGCCCGCTGAAGCGGTGGTTTGTGTAGAGGTGACGACGCTCTGCTCCTGGGACACTGCTGGGGGCGCTTCCCCCACCTGGATGGCTTGGCCAGAGGTGTGTCCCCAGGGAGGGCCGACGGGCCGGGCTTGAAGAAACGGAGACCGCCTCGGGCCCGCGTGCCGGATCTAAGCGGGCTCTGCGACACCCCGTGTCCAGATAAAATTTAAGTTGTGCCCACGTTCAGCTGACTGTTCCCTTCTGACATCGCATATTTTGCTGTTTCACAGTTCTTCAGATTTATCCTTTTTGCTTATTATTTAAACATTAATAAGGTGGTCTAACTCAAGTAAGTCCCTTGCACAGGTGAAGATAAATCCATTAAAGTGAAGCACACTTTTTTTTTTTTTTACAGTGAGCTAAATCAAGCAATGGGGTACCCTTTCAATGCATATGTAGCGTAGATACTGAGGGGTATTGTGTAAAACTTGAATTTGTTGTGATTTTGCTCCTACCCTTCTTAGGAAAATGTATTTCGAAACTGTAGTAGTACTTTGTCTTTCTAGAATTTAAACTTTTAGATAGATAAAGATAAAAAACAAAGAAACCAAATAATTTTTGCCATTTATAGAGCTCCTACTTTGCATTGGGCACCATGCTGGGACTGTCACAGTTAATTCTTTAAAATTGGAGTGCCCCACTAGAAGACCCCTGAAATTTAGACGACTTCTCCATTTCCACCCATTTCCTGGGTGATTCTCTTTAGTCACTGGCTGTACACGCCCTTCTGTATATAGACTGCACACCTGGCATCTCCACATGGATTTCAAACTCAGGCTGCTTCTCCCCAAGGCTAAACTGAAGGGGTGAAGAAATGTGGCCACTGAAATGATTTGACATCTGGGATATGCTTCAAAGTCAGGTGTTGCCACAGGAAATGAGGTTGGGGATATAGGTGAAACAAGATTGGTCATAAGTTGATAATCATTGAAGATAGTTGATGGGTACATTAGAGTTCATAATACTATTCTTTCCACTTTTATTATGTTTGAAAATTTCAATTAAAAAAGTTGCCTGGCCAGGCGTGGCTCAGCTGTTGAGCATCCACCTGGGATCCAGGCGATCGGGGTTTGATTCCCTGTCAGGGCACATGCCCAGGTTGCGGGCTTGATCAATGACTCTCTCATCATTGATGTTTCTATCTCTCTCTCTCTCCCTCTCCTTTCCTTTCTCTGAAATCAATAAAGATATATTTAAAAAAAAAAAAATGTTTAATTCCCTGTATCTAGAACTTGACCTCTTCTTGCTATCTCCATTGCTACCACCGTGGCCCACTGGGTTATTTCAGTGGCCTCCTAGCCAGTCTGTTTTCACCCTTGTCTCCTGGAGTGTGCTATCTGCACAGCAACTGGAGTTATCCTATTAAAACAAGTTAGATATGTCACTCCTCTATTTGGAATCCTCCAGTGGCTCCTCATCTCACTCCCAAGTAAAAGCCAAAATCGTTTCCAATGGTTTCCAAGGCCTTAATGATCCAGATGGCCTCAATTCTGCCACTCACTGCTTCGCTCACTCTGCAGCTGCCACACTGCCCATGCCTTAATAGTTCAGCATGCCAGGCACCCTCTCAAGGCACTAGCTGCTCCATCCACCTGGAGTGCTTTCCCCTGGAATACCTGCCTGGTTTCCTCCTTTGCCTCCTTTATTTCTATATTCAGATCTCGTGTTCCCTGTGAAGACTTCCTTGATCATTCTACTTAAAATTGTAACACCCTGCCCACAGTGCACTCCTGATCCCCTTTCTTAACTTTGTTCCTTAGCATTCGATCTATTTCACTTCCTTGTCTGTCATCTGTCACCCCCACTGGAAGGCAGAGATTTCAGTCAGCTTCATTCACTGATCCAGTTTCAGCAAGGTACACAGCACTGATACACCTGGTACATAGCAGGCGTTCAGTAAATATTTGTCGAATGATCAATCTGCATTTTACACAGTAAAATAAAACAAGCCTTAGGAATTTCTAAATTGTTTAATATAAGGTAGGATTATCCTTTTAAATTTTGATACCACCTTCATAGTACCAAGTTCAATGCCATGTGCCCAGTTGAGTTTTCAAGTAAATACACACTTATAAGCAATTTGAGGGAGAAATTCATGTGCTGTAAACCAAGTAGTTACATTAGCAAATGCTTTCCTTCCTTTTGTATATGTGTCCAGGTTGTTGATTTCATGAAGAAAATCAACAGGTTTAGTAAAAGTGCTTTTTTAAAAAAATATATGCATCTTTATTGATTTCAGGGAGAGGGGCGATAGAAACATCAATGATGAGTGTCATTGATCAGCTGTCTCCTGCACGCCCCCTACTGGGGATGGAGCCCGAAATTGGGACATGTGCCCGGGCGGGAAATCAAATTGTGACCTCCTGGTTCATAGGTCAACGCTCAACCACTGAGCCATGCTGGCCGGGCAAAAAGTGCTTTTTCTATGCCTTATTTTTTAGGTGGATTGAATACCCTTTAAGGTAACTTCTGAGTTTCTCTTTGGCAACAGCAATTGCCTTTTGATAATTGCTCTGAAAAGAGTGACATACATGGTCATTGCTGCTGCTCTGTGTTGTACTGTTGGGGAATCTTTACCTTTGGTGATTTTTTCTCTGATAAATCAGTTTTCAAAATCTAGTATCAAGTGTTAATATTTCAGAGTGGGAGAAGCAATCCCCCTAAACTGACTTTCCTGACTTAGGAAGGAAAGAGGCTCTTCACTCCCTGTGTTTAACAGACTGCTTCTCCTGGGCCGTTCATTCCAAAGCAGATTTGAGTTAATGAAAATGAAGAGTATGTGCTGACTGATCAAATTTTGACATGCTCAAACTCTTAAATATGTTGATTTAGCTGTTTGAGGAAAGGACTCTACTTGGAATGTGGTAGAATCCTTTCTTGTTTAAAATTTAGTCTTATTTTAGTTTGTTTAGATTTTGTTGTTTACAGAGCTCATACATAAGTTACGATTTATTAATGTTTTAATTCAGAGCCAAGATTTAAATTTTTTATTGCCCTTCAAATTGTATAGAATGATGACTATGTCCCTGGCTAACATAATTGTTACATATGCTTAAAATAGATATATTTATCTTATCATTTTATATATCGTAGTAGATATGATCATATTGGTTTCCTAAATATGATCACTTGCTACTAAGTGAATAAATCAGCATTGTTGAAATAATAAAAAACTAAACATAAGTGATAACTTTAATCTTGGCCACAGGTGTAGAAATCACAAATGTCGTCAAAGGATGGAAGATTCAGAAATCGAGACAGGCACTACGATGAGGTCCCAAGGGACTCGGCCTATGAAGATGGCACCATAAAAACCCTTCAGACTCTTCGTGACAGTGAGCTGGCTGTGAGCGCTGATCCTTTGCCACCACCCCCTCTCCCATTACAGCCACCATTCGGCCCTGACTTCTACTCAAGTGACACAGAGGAACCGGCCATAGCACCAGATCTCAAACCTGTTAGGCGCTTTGTCCCTGAGTCCTGGAAGAACTTCTTCAGAGGGAAGAAAAGGGACCCAGAATGGGATAAGCCGGGGTCAGACATCAGATACATCTCCGATGGAGTGGAGTGCTCACCTCCAGCCTCTCCAGTGAGACCAAACCATCATTCACCCCCCAACTCCTACAAAGATCCTTACGGAGGGTCACAAGGAACCTACAATTCCCGGAAAGAGGCTGAAACGATGCTTCCCCAGGATCCCTATGGATCTCTGGGCCGACACACTCAAACAGCTCTAACGTACAGTGAGAAGGTGGAGGCGTATAACCTGAGGTATTCCTACATGAAGTCGTGGCCTGGTCTGCTGAGGATTCTGGGTGTGGTGGAGCTGCTGCTGGGGGCAGGCGTCTTCGCTTGTGTCACCGCTTACATTCACAAGGACAGTGAGTGGTATAACATGTTTGGATATTCCCCGCCCACTGCCATGGGAGGCATTGGTGGCCTGGGCAGTATGTATGGGGGCTATTACTACAGCGGCCCCAAAACTCCTTTTATACTCGTGGTTGCTGGATTAGCTTGGGTAACCACCATTATTATTCTGGTTCTTGGCATGTCCATGTATTATCAGACCATTCTTTTGGACTCTAACTGGTGGCCCCTAACTGAATTTGGAATTAATGTTGCCTTGTTTATTCTGTATATGGCTGCAGCCATAGTCTATGTGAACGATATCAACCGAGGTGGACTCTGCTACTATCCATTATTTAATACACCAGTGAATGCAATGTTCTGCCGGGTGGAAGGAGGACAGATAGCAGCGATGGTCTTCCTATTTGTCACCATGATTGTTTATCTCATTAGTGCTTTGGTTTGCCTAAAGTTATGGAGGCATGAGGCAGCTCGGAGACATAGGGAATACATGGAACAACAAGAGGTAAGGAACTTCACAATCTTTCATTTGTTCTTTTTTTTTTTTTATGTTATTTACTCCCTTGTTAAATATATATAGCTCTCAAAACAAATATTTTATAGAAGCCTTTTTTTTTTTTTTTAATCTGAGTTCAAAAGTCCTAGCTCAGTATCTGGCACACTAGGACTGGGGTAACCCACTCTAGAGTGTCACTGCTGTATAGCATTGCAAGTAGACACCAGGTGTGTAATGTAGTACAGAGTTTGTTGGCTGCATTATTACGTCTTTCTGCTGCTTAAGGGGAAAACATAGATACTGAATTCCTGCAAAGAAAAATAATAACATACTCAGTAAATAAAATGTCTTATCATTAAAGGAGGTTTGAGAACAATCTTGACTCTTTGGTATGGTAAGACAATAAAAAACACAAGTTTTCAGTTAGAGGAGAAAAGTGCTCATGTAAATATTATGATGATTCCCAGTTTCTTCCAGTGAGTTACATAAAGTCACGTAAAAACATGGTGAACCACATATGATTTTTTTTTAAGTATTGAGAAGCTGACTTGCAATAAACATACTCTGTGAAAACTTACCCAGGCATTTTGATGTTTCATCATCATTTTAGGGAGATGAGCGTTCCAAAATTAGAATGGGAACCATGTACTTGATTTCATTTTGGGGATTTAACTAGTTAAATGTACAAAGGAGGAGGAGAATTAATAATACCTAGAGGATAAGACTATCGAAGCCTTATTTAAAATAATTTTATTTCAACAGTAGCAAAAATATTAAGTGTATGTTCTACTAGCTTCATTATACCCTGAAATAAGTTAATGTTTTGCTTTCTTCTAAGGAGGAGTGTAGTAGAATTTTCTATGACACTGAAAATGTCGTATTATTTTAACTTTTTTCTTAATTTTAAGTTAATTATATTATGCGTATTTCTTTTCTCACTTTTCCAGAGATCTCCTAGATACTGTATAATTTCACATGGTGTACAGGGGTACACAAAAGTAGGTTTACAGTTCTAATACAAATAAATAATACAGTAATTAATAAATAATAAAAGAATAAACTTTCATGTACTCACAACTGTAAATCTACTTTTGCCAGCCCCTGTGTATTGGGCAAAACTATAGATAAAAATTAAATCCTGTCCTTATTGACTCAATAACCTATTTACTTACTCATTTACGTATATATTTTGTTTTTACTCTTTTGCCGGAATCTTATGCATAACAACAAAAAACTTGACTAAGTACCTTATGTTATGTGGAGAACCTCAGCATGTTTCAGTGTGGTCCATACTCTTTTGTCACAAAATATATTAATCTTGAAGAACTCAACATAGATTTAAGTTTTTTCTAAAAGTTTATCTTGCAATGTTAAGCATATTTTAAAATTTACATCTGTATATACAAAATAAAGAACTTTGCATTTCAATCAGTTTGAAATCTAGATAGTGAAACACACACACAGCCTCATAATTTTAGATAAATTTAATAACAACAGAGTTCTTAATGTCATTTCAAAATTCTACATTAATAGTATCTGTAATTATCAACATAATAGTTTCATTCTTTCCCCTTTGTCAACAAAAACTTGTTTCTATCAGGCTTTTCAAAATTTGTAATTGGACTTGAATCACCTCTCGTATTGGAGGTTGTGTGTAGCTATAACTTCCTAAAAGGCAGAAAATGTAATGGCCTGTGGCTTTTTTCTATTAGCTTTATAGTATAACTGTCTCAAATCCCTTAATTGTGTAAAGTAATGGGAGAATAAAGAAAATCTCTAGGTGATTCGAAGCAACTTACCTAAGAGTCTCTACCATCTTCATATTTCCAACTCTGCTCTTTGGTCCTGATTGACAGGGAATTACAGTTATCTCATCTCCTCTGGTTGTCCACTGGCCCATCGAAATGTGGCCAAAAAAGGAGGAGGAGCATCTGAAAAGTAGAGAATCAACCAGTATAACTGAGGTTGGGCTATAAATGCAAATGGGTGAAAATATTTGCAAAGTAACTTCACATGCCTTTGAAAATTCATTTTAACTCTTTTTGGTCCAGATAAGTGAGCCGTCGTTTCCATCGAAAAGGAACATGGTAAGAAAAAAGTTCACATTATATTTTATCTCTAGATTTGTTAAATACTTTTCTCTCTTGTGTATAAATATACACGGTAGATCATCTTTCTGTAAAAGTGTATCTGTTACATTGAGGTCATAAGAGGGCTCAGGTTTTTTCTAATACGAAAAGGATCAATTATATAAGGTTATTGATAGCTTCTTTTAATTTTATTAGATGAAAACGTATGCAAATGAGCTGTTGATTCTCCTTGTATGTTTAAATTTTTAATCTTTTAAAAATGAAGGTAATTTCCCCAAACTTTCTGCAGTCTCTTTAAAGTTCTTTCAGATGCCAAATTTTGTTGTGTCAGGAAAGAAATCTCTGTTCCACCACTTACTGTGTGGTGGTAAGCAAGTATTTAACCTTCTAATGCCTTGATTTCATCATCTGTAAGATCAGAATAATAATTTCTACCTCACATGATTGCTGAGATGATTAAGTGAGGTGCTGTTATAATTATTACAAATATATTATAAATTATTTTAATCATAGTTCTACCTCATTGAAAAGTACTTTTTTAAGATATCAGGTATTATTTCTAAGCAAAAAATTGAGAATCCAACTCATTGATTAGTTTCTTTCTTTGAAAAGGGAGTATATTCACTTGGTTCAAAGTTCAAAAGGAGCTCTAATACAAAGTCCTCTCTCAATCCTATATCTGGTTTTCCAGTTCTCCTGCTCAGAGGTAACCAGTGTTATTAGTGTCTTGGTTTCCTTTCAGAAATGTGTTATGTATATATTTGCTCTCCTCCCCCTTTTACTCAATGGTAGCATACCATATACACTGTTATATTCCTTATTTTTTCCACTTAACAATACATTTCTTTTTAAAAAATTTTTTTGATTGCTTTTAAAGAGAGAGAGAGTGAAAGAGAGGCGGGGAGAGAGAGAAAGCATCAGTTTGTTTTCCACTTATTTATGCATTCACTGGTTCCTTCTTGTATGTGCCCTGACCAGGGATCGAACCTGCAACCTTGGCGTATTGGAACAACTCTCTAACCAACTGCGCTACCCAGCCAGGGCAAACAATACATTTCTAAGATGTTTCCTTATTAGCACATAAAGAATTTCTCCATTCTCTTTTCACAGCTCCATAGTATCACACTGTATGGATATACTATAGTTTATTTAACCATGAATGAACATTTAGGTTGTTTCCTATCTTTTACTATTAAAAACAATGCTATAATGAATAACCTTATACATATAAAAATATACTTGTGCATACTTCCTTTCATATATTTTGATTGTCAGATTGCCCCATAGAAATTTTACCAATTTCTACTCCCAGCAGTATGAAAGGCTTCCTCACCCCCTGACCAACAAAGTGTGTTAGGAAATTTGTTGACATGTATCAGTCTGACAGGTGAAAAACAGTATCTTAGGTAGTTGTAATTTGCATTTCTCTTATCAGGAGTGAGGTGGAGCACTTTTCATGTCATGTTTGCATTTCCTGCTCTATTAACTGTCATAACCTGTCTAGTTTTTTTTATTGGGTTGCTAATTTGTACAAGCCCTTTGTTAAGTGCATACATTTTGAAAATACCTTTTTTGGGTTTTTTTAAAATTCTCTATAACACACAAATACTATTTGAAAATATTTTCCTGATATGATACAGTGAGAAAAATACTGCCAAAAATATTTTGTTCGTGGTGAAATAAAGGGATTTATGAAGTGGGCGAATAGTGTGCCCAAGGGATTGTGATTAATACTTCAGTATCATCACTAATTAATTCATTGAACAAACACATGCCTGTTAGGCTGTGGACCAGGGATATGAATACTACAGAGTATCATCTCCATTTTCCAGGGGCTTACAAACCTAGTGAAAAATAAAAACACAGACAAAAGATTAGTAGAATGTGATTGTGTGTGTATGTGTATGAGGGAGGGGTGAGAGAGGTCACAAACATCAGGAGCTATAAAATTAAATAATTCGCTTAGAGATTTGTGTTTCTCTGACATCTCCTGGGAAGGTCAGTTTATGGATGACAATGTCTCAAATTCGGTTTGGTTAATTGGTCATCTTTGGGGATTAGTAACTAGCAAAGTTTTTTAAAGAGTCAGTTGCATTAAGTTATTTCTGACATGTATGTGGAGTCCTCTGAATTGCAGCTGGCAAGGCTCAACAGCTTTCCTGGGATTAGAAATCTTTAGAAATCAAGAGCTATCTGACCAGTTCTGACTGACCAGGCATGGAACACGGGAGACTGGTATTGAAGAGTTTCTCCATAAGGCAGTGTGGACCTAGGGCTACGAACATGTACACTTTAAACATTGTTCAGAGAATTAGAGAGATACTACTGCACTTCGTGTGTGTGTGTGTGTGTGTGTCTTTTTGTTTGTTTTGTACTTTGTTTTAACTTCCCTTGTGTTTTAGTTAGATTTGTGTTCATTTATTCAAGATGTATTGCTGTCAGGACATATGTTTCAATTAGACTTCTTCTAACTCAGTGTAACTAGCAGTCAGAATGAACTAAATGGATGCTCACTTTTATGCTGTCTAAAATATGCATATCAGATATACCTGAAAGTGATGATAATAATAGTTGCCTTAGGAGGGCACCTGGCTAACGGGGGAGG